TGGGCCTCATTTAACATATATATATATATATATTAAACGTTAAATTCCTCTAATTGCATCTTTAAAATTAATTAATTTATCAATTCTAAAAACACTATTTGGTAAAGAGTTCCAGTCTTTGATTGTTCTACAATAAAATGAATTCTTATACCTTTCAGTGTTCGGTTTTATTTCTATGAATTTATCTTTATGATATGATCTTAATTGACGGTTTTTCCTCTTGATACAATTTGGGAGTTCCATCTGGACTTTGCCATGGAGAATCTTGTACAACATGGTTAAACATGCAGACTTTCTTCTTTTCTGTAATGGAGGCCAGTCCAAATCATTTAGAAGATTTGATACAATCCCTGGTTTATGCTCCCAACAATTTTTTACAAAATGTGCAGATCTTCTTTGAACAGCTTCAATTTGATTTATGTGTTTGTCCTTCCAGGGGTCCCAGACTGTGCTTGCATACTTGAGATGCGGTCGAACTAAGGATTTATATGACAGTTCATTGATAGATTCAGGACATTTTCCAAGATTCCTTTTCAAGAAACCCAAAGTTCTGTTTGCCTTATTAGTCTTCATATCAATATGATGACTCCAGTCTAGTGAACTTGGCAATTCCGCCCCAAGGTATGGATAGTGTGACGCAGACTCCAAAGTATGACCCATTAGCTTGTAATGGAAAATTATTGGATGAGATTTCCTGGTAACTCTCATAACAAAACATTTTCTGGGGTTAAATTGCGAGAGCCATTTTTTTGCCTATTGTTCAATTGTAGAAAGATTGTTGGATTGTTGTAGAAAGAAAGTTGGAGTTGACCAGTGTCCAGAGTTGACCAGAATTGCAGTTATCCCCAATATCATTTATATAGAGAAGAAACATTAGGGGACCTAGGACTGTCCCTTGAGGAACACCAGATGACACATGGACTGCAGTAGAAGATACTCCATCTGCTACAACAGACTGTTTTCTACATGTTAGCCAAGTAGTAATGCAGCTTTTGAGATTACCCCTTATTCCATAATAGTCAAGTTTACAAATTAATCTTTGATGTGGGACAGTATAAAATGCCTTGGAGAAATCCATAATGATTAGATCTGATTGATTCCATTGTCAAGGGCTCTTCCAATTTCCTCTATTGTTGTGACTAGCTGGGTTTCACAGGAGAGTTTCCTACGAAAGCCATGTTGAGATTTAATAAGGATGTTCATCGAGTCTAGATGGGCCATAATATCATGAAAGATTATATGCTCTAGTATTTTACATGGCACAGCTGTCAATGAAATTGGTCGGTAGTTGGCAGGTTGATGTTTATCACCTTTTTTGAAAACAGGAGTGATATTTGCTTTCAGCCAGTCAGCGGGCAGTTGACCAGTAGCTACAGATTGGGTGTAGAGAAATTGGAGAAAAGGTGCAATTTCAGCAGCCGCTTCTTTTAA